GCGAATTGCGTCGTAGCAGCTGCGTCGAATGAAAAGTTTTCTCGTATCAGCACTATATAGCGAGAAAGAGAGAGAGAGAGAGAGAAAGAGATAAGCTCGGTAAGGAAGTCATCTGCGCCTCACGCTGCCGCTGCTGATTTGCATACATAAGTGCGCATTGCTTTGCAAGAGAGAGAATCAGCTGATGTTTGAAAGAGAGTCGCAGCGTTGCACACACACATACGTATTGTAAGCCGAGCGAGTGAGTTCATGCACGTGAGTGACCTTGCCTTATACGTGCGCTGCACAACGCATCTCTCGCATTACATATATTTATATTTGTATATATATGTATAGCTGCGCGCGTGTATAGATATCTTTGTTTGAGACGCGAGAATCTCGATGTGCATGCGCTGCGCGTCAACGAGCACCGAGCACGTGTTCGATTGTACACTCGTACAATCAATGCGCTCGCATATATTGCCGCGCAGCTCGTACATGTATTTCTTACTTACAATTCGCGATATACACACAATATAACGCGGAAGATTATTATACTCGATTACAATCGACTGCTTTTATACGTGTGTAATACGTGATAAATTAATTGTACAGCGAATTGTCACCTACGCTCCTCTTGGCAGTCCTCGCCTGGACTGGCGAGCTGAGATTTCACTCTCATTTTTGTGCAAAAGGGCATTATTGTGGAATTTTTACGATGCGAAAGAGAGAGAGAGAAACTTTTCAAGCAAAATATTCTACTCCTTTTCTCTCGAAATAAACCGCTTTTTCTTATATTGTTATTATATAGTCTCGTGGAACGTATATATAATATCGTAGACTGCAGTAAAATATTTAAACGCTTTCGCGATAAAAGTTAAACAATCGCGATTTACGAGCTACTAGCTGCTGCAGCTGAATCGAAGTCTATTCTTTTTTTATATGTTTATATATCGCTAAGCAAGAGTATATGTGACAGCTTCATCGGGTCGAGCTTTTCTCGACGCTAGATTCGCGCATTTTGCAAGCTCATGGGGCCGCTCGCGGCAATGTCGAAATACAAAAGGAAGCGAAAAATTCTTGAGAATTGCAATCGATTGCTTTCGACGTCGCTGCAAATGCCGGCTGTTACTATTACACGCAAACGAGCTTTTTGATCTGTAGCTTTGTTGGAAACGATCGGATGAATTTTATATACCAGTATGTACGATGTTTATATTGAAAAGTATATTTGAATTGGCGCCTTATGGAGCTTTAACGTATAATCGAAGACAACGCGAAAACGATTCCACATTTGTCTAGTATCAGTGACCAAAATATATTTCTTTTTTCGTTCGTCTCTCCGCTCGCACCATTTACACGCATCAGAAATTTAATACCTAATTCTCCCATGTACAGCATTGTACATAATTATCGAAGCAGTTCGAGCTAGTTCAGCCCTGAGCGAGTCCTGCGCTACGATGACGCGTGCGTTGACGAGAAACAAAGAAATCTCGCAAGCCGTGTCCTTTGCTATGCTATATTTAGTATTACTAAATGTGGTCGCTTAAATGCGTGTTTGTATCGTAAATGACAGCTTTACCTACTCTTTTGACGTGGCAGTTTCCCAGTGTTATATATATACACATAAGCAAGACACATTCGCCATTGAAAAAATTACGAGAAAAAGAGAGAGAAAGAACAAACCAGTACTAGTAAGACTCGATGCTTAGAGGTGTATTGCGCATATGTATACACACATCTCCCACGACTCTTGTGTGCGTATCTTATATATATACGCTCTCTCGCGCAGCGTATACGCATATTTTATACAATATTCTTCAGTCCAAGCGTGACTTTGCTCGCGAGCGCATCGTGTAATGTATTTATCTATCGGCGGAGCTACGCGCGCGGCACTTGGCATGTGCTAAAAAAAAAGGAGAAAATAAAGAAAATTCATAGCGCGTTATTATACCACAGTAATCGCGTGGATGCAGTTGTGCGAGTTTCATGTAAACACGAATTTGTGCCGCGCGTATTCGTATATATATCCGTGCCGTGCAACTGGACCGAGTCGAGGAGTAATAAAGCGTCCACGGAGAAAAAGGTAATTGGTAATATAAGAGAGTAGAGCAGCCATAAGCTCGCCTATATTTCGAGAAGAAGTAAGAAAGAGAGAGAGAGAGAGAGAGAGAAAAAAAAATCCAAGTATTTTCCGTGCCACAAGTGCACGCGCTAAACGACGCGGCACATATACACCTATACGATTATTCTCTGGCCATTTCCTCGATGCAGCATACATACGTATACGTATATATTGTAAGATAGCTGCGCGAGAAGTTTACGAGGCTCGCATGTACACATATAAGAGAGAATTGATATTGACCGCGCGCACGTGTGTGATTTTTTTCTCCCGCGACAACGTCTCTTCCCGTACATATTGCATAGATACACATTAGACTCGTCGATCGAGCGTGACGCGTATATTGGGGCTCTTCTCTATTATTAGAATTAAATAAAATTGTATAATCCCCACGGATTCTCGCGTCTATATCAATTTATCTCGTATATGCACATAAGCGAGCTATGTAGCTACACAAGAGTCAAGATTTGCGTGCTCGAGCAGTGCATCTGTCTGTCTGTCTCTTTCTCCCCGTAGCGAGCGCCATATCGCAAGTCGCTGCTGCTGCCGAGCACGATCGCTAATTGAGACTTTGACGAGGTTGCGAGCCGGCTGCACAATTATTATTATACAGCGTACATCCTTATACAATGAGGATTACGACGTGTAACAGAATGTCGCAATGTATGTATATATAGCAACGCACGCGCTCGAAAGCGATCCTCTTTTGATTGCTTCTTTAGCTAGGCTCTTTTTCCATGATGCTCCTTTTTTTCTCTCTCTCTCTCTCCCTCACAAAGCTTTGTGAGTTAATAGCACAAACATTCGAATTGTGCTCGGGCTCTTGTTTAATAGCCGATCCGTGCAAATATTGAATTTGAATGTCCATTGAGCTGCCGCTACTTCGTTGTCGATGTTATAACTGTTCTTTCATGTATATCTGCTACACGTCGTCGATCGAGCTCTCATACATATATCATATATAATGCATGTATAACGCGCGCTCGATTGATTAGATCGCGCAGCAAATGCGCTGTGCTCCTCGCCGAGCTCTTCTTTCCTCCATTATTTAATATTTTAATATTTAATAGTTTCTTTATTATTCATATACGGCGCCCTCTTCGTCTTTTTTGTTGCTGCTGCTGCATCCAAAAACAGGCAGAGACTAATTTGCGCGCTTGTATTATAGCCGGTCGAGTGCGTAATTGATCGAGTCTTTTCACTGATGCGCTCACGATCGAGTGCAGAGTGTCGTTTTGCACTCGTCGCATATCGAATATAAAAAGGAAGTGCGCGCGGAAAAGGGTGATACACAATGCTGGTCTCGTGCTTTTCTTTTACCTGCATTAGACGCAAGTACATCGACATTTCTTCTTCATACGTCGAAGCTAGATCGTTCTAAGGCGATGATAATAATTTTTATAGCACTGCGTGTCTTGAGTTCACATTCAAGGCACGCTTTTCGGTGTTATATTATGGTTTTCATTCGAATGATTGTGAATCTTAAACGCTTATTTTATGAAGTTGCGATACTAATTATCTCGCGTCGAAATATACAAATTGTATACTAGAATTGGTTTCTAGCAATAATTTTCTATTGATTCGTCGTTTGAATCGGACGGATTGGGCTATTCTTTTTAAGTTTATTTTCGGATTCTGAATCTTTGGTGTAAAATAATTAAAATCAAGGAAGGTGAGGTTTTGATTTGTACACACAACTTCACTACTTCTCGAAGGGGAATAAAATTATTTGTTATGTGCCACCTATCGGCGATATATTTAACCTCAACGTAAATTTGTTCATGTATGTTCTCAACTGTCTTCCGGCAAGGTGGTACCTCCAAAACTCAAAACGTATTAGAAGCTTTTAATAAATTAGATGTCTTCTCATATATGTGACGGGGACGATCAACATAGATGTGATCAAAGTTTCCAGTTCCAGAGCGTAAGAGAGTGTCTAAAGCTGACATAAGTGATCAAATATAATCCACCTAAAGGCAATTCTTATATACGAATAATGAGCATTTCTTGGCACTTGCGGGTATCAAATAATGCCGCTAGTTAAACACCAAGCGGTAGAAAAGCTAAGTTATGATCCAGAGAAATTTCAAAACGAAGCATAATTTTTGAAGTGTTTCTTTGAGTGTTTCTCTCTCTTTCTCTCTTTTTATCTCTCTCTCTCTCGCAGTAGCAGTTCGGACACGCATACAAAATTTTTTTCTTGCAAGGAAGATAATCGGGTTAATGACGATTTTTTTAGTCTCGAGGGCACACTAGCGCAGGGAAATATTAACAATCGGCGCAGTAAGTATATAAGTACGTCAGAGAGTTAGCTTGTCGTCGACTCGTCGTGTAGAATATACATACAAGGCGTCGAGGCGTCTTACATATATTATATATATATAATACAGATCATGTGAGCTACCGTTTTCCGCCTTCGAAGCGTCGATTTACGTACGTTCAAAAGTAGCAATATGTAATCGTATATTCAATCGTTGACTTTTTTTGCTCCATCGATTTGGAAACTCGGATACAATGAACGCGCGGATATGCCCGTTATTTGTAGCTGCTGCTTTTGCTTCTCTTATTTTTTTGGCGTCGAAAAATTGTTGTTTAATTAAATTCCAGCAAGACGTCGAGGTGTCAAAAGAGAGAAAAGAAATTGTCGCGCGGATTCCCCGTGCACTTTGAGCCTTTTATAACGTGCGCGCGCGCGACAATATCAAAACGAGCATGAAATTGCGTAATTTCGCGCACCGACTCGATTCACAATCCGGACAATTGCGCTTTACTCTGCCCAGTCTGCAACATATACAGACATACAATAGACTGAAAATTGATGATATTATATTATACTGCAGTGCGATGATTTCTATATATGTAAGCGTGTGTATATAATGGGTGCTCTTTTATGCTGCAGGTGTCCCCGAAGCGTCGTCGCACTCGACTTCTGAACCAGCTCGACAGCTGATCCAAGCCGCTCGCGCGCGCCTTCCACCACCGGCCACTACGACTGCTGCTGCATTGATGATCCGTTCGGACGTTCGGTGCACGACTCCGGCACGTACTCACGTATAGGCAGTTGGTGCTCGGATTAGAATTATATACACGTACGGCTGACAAGTGTCTGTACACAATAACGAAGAGGCGACGATCTGATTGGCGCAAGAGATCGCTAAAAACAGAGAAGAAGAAAAAGAAAGAAAAAAAGAAGAAGAAGAACACGACGACGACCACTACGACGATTTAGAAGTACGAAGGATTAGCGGTTGCGGCGGTGGGTAGCAGCCACCATGGTCAAAACTTTTCAAGCCTATCTGCCCTCCTGCCATCGCACCTACTCGTGCATCCACTGCCGCGCTCATCTCGCTAATCACGACGAACTCATCTCAAAGGTATGCTCTAAACGCGTATTATAAGTCCTGTGCTTTATATTAATCGTGTGCGATGCGTAGCTGACCATTACATTGTGATACACACGTAGCCGTGATTTGTATAAGCGGAGTGGCTTTGATGGTCGACGCGCAGCTTTACGCGTTGGCTCGCTCACGCCTGGGCATTATCGTATTAACTTTGACCGCGTTTTTCACAATTTCCTTTTCTCGCTGCTGCTGCTGCTCGGCTTTTGCAGCTCTCTGTGTGTATATATATAACGTCATTGTACATTGTATTACAGCAACGCCAACCAGCACACACGAGTGCAACCTGACTAACAATTGGGTCAAACTTTTTCTTTTAACGTTCGCTCTGTAAAGCTGTAATCACGCAAAATTTACATGCGTATTTACTTATACGAGTATATATAGCTGACTAACTCGAGTCTTTTTAACTACATTTAAAATTGTTCCGACGAGTAATGAAATGCGATCGACGCGTGACGTGTTTACGCGACAGGACCTTTACGGTAGTAATACCGATTAACCGATTGATGCAAGTCTAATCTCTTTTTCCTTGTTTCAGTCTTTCCAAGGAAGTCAAGGTCGTGCCTACCTTTTCAATTCTGTGTAAGTATTTTCGTAATCATTTTATCGAAACTTCCAAAATCGGTAAAAAATTATAAGAATCAAGCGTGATATGAGCCCGATTTCTTCCAACTTTGAACTGGTTCGCTGAATGAAGAGAGCGAGAAGAAATATAACAAATTTGCCATTTAGTAATGCGCCTCGTCAAGTTGTTGAAATTTCAGAAATAAAGTATCGTAACGCATCATTTATTTACGTCATTTATACAAGTAGCAACATCGAAACTTTGAGAAAAAATGAATTTTAAAATAGTAGATGGCTTTGTGATTGATCGGCAAATAAAAAGGCTTTGCATGCGAGCTCCAATAATAGTGAACGCTATATTATAGTGTACGCACTTCACCTTTAAACGAAATAAAACTAATACTTCACAAAGGACGTAGACGTTGATGGAGAGAAAGAAAGAGAGAGGAAGAAAATCTGCAACTATGCTATTGCTTTGTGTATAAAATACACACGTTAAGCGGCGAGAAAAACCGGTTATTCGAGAAATTAAACCCGTTGTAAATGCCGAGAAGAAAAATTGGATTATTTCCTTGGAGTTTCTGCGTTTGGCACGAATACATATACGTAGGATACGTGTACTCATCGTCGTCTCGCTGTCGTTGATTTTTCGTCATTTGTGCTGCTGTTGCTATCCGTGTACATGTGACGCCGCGCACACATACAAGATCCGTATCCCAAGTAATAAATATCTAAACGAATTTACAATATATTCGTGTTATAATGTTGCTTGTTTAATGCGTTAGTTTATCTAGATTTCGCGACATTATCGCGAAAATTCGGTATCGCGTTTTGATTATCAGCCTGCGCGCGTACGATTGTCTTTTACATACGAATTGAACATAAATAGTCATCTTAAGGATACGTATTGAAATAGATGAGTGAGAAACATCTTTTTTCTCGAACGTACTGGCGCGATTGTGCTGGCGCCAAATTTCGTTTTTTTTTTCTGGCTCTACTCCGTCACACGATGTTCGAGCGGTGTTAAAAGTCTACTTTGACGCATAAATTGTTGTTAAGAAATACAACGAACAATGTTTTACGAAATAGTCTGTCAACTTACGACCGCTCCCCTTCTCGCAAAACGTCTAAGCGAACGCAAACAATCGCGTGAACCGATCGCGCGTACACCACACAATGGTGCAATCGTATAGACCCAAAAAAAGTTCGAGTAATTTCCGACCTCGAGAGTCGAAGATCGTCGCGTAATTGACTATTGAATCGGTGTTGTTATGCATACATTACTTACAAAGATAATTCATATTCTCACTTCTTTTTGTTCGTGCAATTTCATTTATATATCTGTGTATCGCACAGGGTCAACGTTGGCTGCGGTCCAGCAGAGGAGCGAATCTTGCTCACGGGTCTACATGCGGTGGCCGACATATACTGCGAGTGTTGTAAAACAACCCTCGGCTGGAAATACGTAAGTTTTGTTGATTATGTATTATGTAATTATAAATGGCGAGTTTGAAAAAAATTATCATCCAATCGTCGACGTCTCGACTATCCTTACATTGTACAACAATCGCATGTAATATACATATTTCAAAGTGAGGCGCTAACGTCACACCTTATAGCCGCGACCTATTATTCATGGTCGGGCGCACGCACCAACTGCTCTTTAGGTATTAAATCATTTTAATTAATATTAAAAGCGCGACGCGCATGTGTGCCGACACATTGAGCAGTTGTCGCTGTTGCGAGTTTTTATCCTTGGACAAAAAAAGAATGGAAAATAAATAAAAGAGACATTGCAAATGGAGCGATTGATTTTTGTCTGTCCTTTTGCAGGAACACGCGTTCGAGTCGAGCCAAAAGTACAAAGAGGGCAAGTTCATCATCGAGCTGGCTCATATGATCAAGGAGAATGGCTGGGAGTAGCAGCAGGGGCATCGCCGGGCCCGCAGTGAGCCCCCGTCGCCGTCGCGCTATTAGGCCGACGGCCACTCGACACACATTACGCAGTCGTCCACCCGACGACGACCATTCCAGACTTGGCTTTTCGTCTCTTTGGTGTATGTGTGTGTCAGATATAAATATATGTAATGCGTCTATGTGTGTTAGTGTGTCTGAAAACGTTTCACTTATTCAGCGAATAAATTATTAACGATAAGAAAGAAGACAACAGTGAAAAGACAACAACTTGATCGAGCATCTCAAAAGCTGTTTTAAAGTTATAACAAAAGAAGAGTCGACGTTGACGTTATGCGACGTATTGACTGCGACCGAAGAATAACGAAAACCAAGACCGGCTATCGTACGAATCAAATATGTATATCTTGATATGTCGCGCGAGCCACCAAACGAAAGTCTGTGATTTCATTTGTGATTTATATAATATTAGTAACGAAGAAGATGGAAGACGAAGGAGAAGAAAAAAGACGAAAAAAAAAACAAATAATGCGTTCTTTTGTTTCGGACCATATTTCGATTAATCGATGAGAGCAACTGTATATGTGTGTGTCGCTGCGTTAACGCATTCACTTGTATATAATAAATAATTATTATAAGAATGATTAATAACTACAAAAACACCCCTCAACAACAGTTACACTTGATTAAAATAAATGTACATTTATCATCGAATTTATCCATTCGTTTGGTTCATCAAAATGCACACGATACGCATGGATATAAATACATACATTATAATTCGCAATTAAAAAGCTTCCAAAACATTTTCGACTCACCCATGTACAAAGACATTGTCGTATCGATATCTATATACAAAAAACGCATCATATATTAATGTACATTAGTGCATAAAAGACACACGATTACATAATAATAAATACAAGAATATTCGAGCTTTGAAACTGACCGTAAAAACGAATGATAGAAAATATATACAGTAACTATTTGCGCACTTGAACGCCCGCAGAACCGACTGTAAACACAACATAAAAAAACAGAGGAGCGTACACAAATTAATTAACGGAATTATATATTGTAAAATAAAAGAAGGAAGGAAGTAGTAATCGACAAGAGAATCTTGCCCCCTGAGACCCGCGACGAAACGATTATTTTTCAAGACTCAGTACGATAAAGTTGTAATACCGCGTGTAAACACAACGCTGAACGGAACAGTAGTTAATTAAACGTAACTATTGATCGCTATCTGTATACGTATGCCATGCGAAATCACTTCGATAGGTTGTTTTAATGCGACTGTGCGTGTCTCTCTCTCTCTCTCTTTCTCTTTCTCTCTATAATATAAAAAAATTAATTTATTATAAAATGCACTCTACGCACGATGACACACGGCGACTACGCCGATCTCCAAGAGAAAAAATAAACAAGTACTGATCGATCTAATACATTGTGTTTTTGTACATGAAGTGGGAGAGTTATAATATATTATTGCTGATTTCGAGAATATACTGTAAATAATATAAATCAAAGAAAAAAGAAAGAAAAAAAGCGAAATAAATCATGTAGCATTCTCTCTATGTGTAACATACATATTATACACATAATAAAAAAATACTGCTCCCGTGCGAAACGTGCGTGGCGAAGTAGAATAGTAATTGCGTGTGAAATACGGAGTACACCGATGATATCAATTGCACGTGTTGGTGTGAGTATGTGTATGTATGAGTGCATAAGACACTTGTGGAATCCATAGATATGCATGTGCAGTTTAAGTTTTTGAGCCAATAACCCTCGTGTATATTATCAATGTAAATAATGCAAACTAGTATTCTTTCTTTGTTTGGTTTTATTCTCGCGTAATCGAGTATCGAATGTTAGATTTCATGACAACACGATTGATCCGATTAAATTTCGAATTTGCGATAGATTTAGGAAATTAAAGCATTATTATTCCATGGTTTATTAAAGGGTGATTTTCAGTGTTAGACGTTAAATGAAAGATTTTTTAGCTCTTACATATTTAATGAAACGCTTCGAGCGCGTGAAATGCTTCGAGCTGTCAAAAATCAATAACATGGCTGCTCATCGTTCGTTCGGAAAAATATATAAGTATAAATAAATCTATGTATATGTGCTTTAAAACAGCATAAGTGCCACCGTACACCGGTTACGCTTTCCAATCGCTCTTACATTACCGACACGTACAAATGTACACTCACAAACACATACACACTGCATAACATGCAACCACCCATCTTCGAGTGATTGAGACAAGATTCTCTGCAGGCCTGCCCATGCGTATATATCTATCATTGGAATTTCACTGCCGATATTCCTTGTGTATAAATAAAGTATATAATTCAGCGAGAAAGCTGCAAAGCAAGAGAACGAGATAGAGCGAAAGAAATGAGCGTTTATGATTTAATGCATGACCTGGATAAGAATATAAGATGTATAAAAAAGAATGTATACAGAATGAAAATATATGTTTTCTAATTTGGATTCAAACGATGTTGTATATTGTGAAGAGAGAGAAGAAAGAAAAACGATAGTTTTTAATGTATTTTTGACATAATGAAAGAGCTGCGTTTTAGCGATTACCGCTCGCAAAATAAAGCCTTTGAATAAAATATTACTATTAGGATTCGATCGTATGGAAAAATAAAAATTTTAAATGGGTCGTTTTTCTATGCGTGAAACAGATAGCAATATGGACGATAAAAAAAAAAGGATTGATTGACTTGTGTCGCAGAGGTAGAAAATTGAGATGCGGGCGAATAATTTTCTCATTATCGCATAATGTAAGAAGTTAATTATACATTAATATTAGCATAATGTGAAAGAGAAAGAAACAGGAAGAATGGATTGTAAAAGGAAAAATTGCATTGAAGTCATGCGTGAATGTACCGAATTGTTTTTTCGTTCGCTCATGTCTGCCAAACTCTGTATCATATTATATCTGTTTGTCTGCCAGTTGCCACTATTATTACTTTTACCAAGTGAAAAGTGTTGAATTATATCTTATATACATTTTATTGAATTATAAAGTTTGTCATTACTGCATTGTAATTAAAGAGTTTACGTTTTATTGTGCAAGAAATAGATTGAATAAGGGAATTAGGAATGAGAATTGTTATATTGAATATATGAGAGGTTTGAAATGGGTTTTCATGATTCTTTTAGATTGAAAGCTGAAAAAAGCACATGTTAAAATTCTCAGCTACTGTTGTGTCTTGAACTGCATTGACCGAATCAACACCAATTGTACTCAAGCGTCGCAAAACGTGTATTTATTATTATATCGAGTGTGTAATAACTTCGTGAATTTTGATCTCATTAATTATTGTAAATAATATTCATTGCGTGAAAAAAAATCAATGGTACTAATCATTATCTGATAATTACATGTGTGTAGAGTTTATTATATGATGTAACGAATCGATATATTATTAGAAGTATATCGTTAATGAAATATTTGTTACGTACTACTATTATTGGAGTTAAGCAAATTATTTGTTACGAGTGATGAAAACAATGTCGTTAAAGAAAATATTTGTTAGCAATCGACTATATGCCCCTATATAAATATTATATTTGACGCAATAGTAACTGAGAAAAATAAATATTTAATAGCAAAAACAATCTGTCGATCTCATTTTATAGAAAAAAAACGGAAATAATGAATTATTTTGTAGAAAGAATCGAATTCGATGATGATGAAAATAGTATCAAGATATCGCGCGTCACGACACGCAGTTGAATCCTGTAAAACAAAAATTAAAATACACGACTGTTCTGTGCACTTACGCCTTTATAAATTTATATATACCTTGTTTTTTTTCGTGGAACATACGAAGATTATGTATACATAACGCAAAATGCAACAAACATCCCGATTTTAGCGTGTGCACGTGTGCGTCTGTACGTGTGAGCATATATCCTGTGAAAATATTATTTACATCTTTCGATAAAAACGGTTTGTTTATTATTATCATTTTTACATTTAACATCTGCGATGATCAAGCGAATAATGTACTAAAATAAGATTCATTTATTTTTTTTTTTAAATCAAGTTTTCGTAGTTTTACTTTCATTATTGTAACGGTGAACGACTTGCGTTGGCTATAGTTTAACGTAGCAAAAAAATGTTGTATCCTCTAGTTTATGATTATTTTATAAAACAAATTATCATCGTTTTTTTACATTTTTTCATATAATTATTTTATATTTATACTTTAAATTTTATTCTTGAACGAGAATACGAAAAATGAACTATCGGACCTAACATACATGATATATAAAATGAAAAAGCATTGATTTTTGTATTAAAACTAAATTAGAGGGCAAGCGTATCATAATGTGTACCGAAGCGTGTGTATGTGTACATATTGACGGTGAAAAATAGACGATATAAAATGAGAAAGAAGTGCTGTGTGACGCGGACATGAAAAGTGAATCTAAATCATGCTATAAAATAGACGTGACGATGTTGAGAAAGAGGTGCATAACTATCACGAGAAAGAGAGTAAATAAATAAATATATCTATATTATATGTAACTAAACATAAACATTTTTTCTCGAGTGCGAATGTGCCGGCCTAACGAGTAATGATTCTTATGATATATGTTTATGTCTCAAAAGAGTACTTTTTTATAATAAATGTGCCGATGTCCTTATATTAAAATGCAATTATTGTCTTGCGAGACAGGCAGAAGCTCTATTTCTGTATTAACTTATACGCATAGAGTGTGTTTATTATGTATACCTTTTTATCTTTGTTGTACCGAAAACATATTCAACTTTTCTTTATACTTTTTTTATATGTAATTTTTGGAAAGAAAAAATAACACGTAATGTATCTGATGATTTGTAATAATTTTATTGTTCCAATCTCTTGTAAAATACAAAAAAAAAACAGAAGAATTATTTCAATCTCGGTCCCCCAGAGTCACGATCTGTTTATATTCAGGATACGATTTTGTTTTGTAACATATGTTAGTAATAAAAAAAATTAAATATTTACTCAATATAGCAAGGATTAATCATTCGAACATCATCCTGTTACACATTTTTTTTGTTTTTCAAGAAATATCAACTTATTTTATCGAATGAAATTTTCCGATCCATAATCGAAAGCAGCGAGAGAAAGCGCGTCGGCACGCACCTGTGCGCGCGCTATCGGAGCAACAGTAGCATCTCTATATTTTCTCACGCTAAGGAATGCTCGAGCTATCGATTTTTTCGGCGCCTTTGTCACGGATGAGAGGAGCTCGCGTGTCAAATATGGATTACCTGCTCGTACTGTGCATACGGAGAAATTTGAAAAATCAATAGCTCCAGGTGAAATCCGAATGTTATCATTATTGAATTTCATCAGTTTCAAAAAAGCTGTTGCGTTCTTTCTTTTATCATATTTTTTGCTGAAATTGGCCGTTTTTTGGCGCGAAATTACGTCAGAATTCCAATTATAACTCATTATAACTGATGTTATGAAAATTTGTCAAAATGACATGCACTAACGAGCGCATATAATAGACATTAATTGTATTCCGGACGGTGACAATCAATGACTCGATATTATACCGCTTTCACGAATAGTGATAAACAATTGGAAACTTTACTTACTAATTAAAGTTCAAAGTTCATATTACTCGTCGAATTCATAAACGTGAATCGATAATAGATGTATCTATGTGGAAAATACACGTCAAAGCAAAAAAGTATATTACGCATTGACTGAATTTAGTCACCTCCAAAAACGATATGAGCTTTTAAGCGAACGGTTGAAGCGCGTAAAAAGTCGTCGGCTCAGCGAAGAATTCGTCAAATATCGATTTTCTTTCGAGCTGCCCTAGTACAGAGAAAGCAAAAGGCGGGAACTTTGTGTGTGCACTGTGCGTCCCCTTTATTCTGTATAAAGCCCGGCTAATATCATATATCCCTCGCTTCTTCATTCAATTCATTGATCCATTCCAAACAAAGAATTAATACGAAGATATATTTAATTGCGCATGGTGGCTAGCTGTGTCGCTAAATCGATGCAGCTTAAGCAATATAACGATCGACTCTCCCCACAAATGGAGATAAATCGATTAGTCTCTGGACAAAGTGTTAATTGTTTTCCACATTGTAAAGTAAGTTCCGAATCGATATAAGGCCATACCGTTAGGCGCCTTCTTATGTATATATAACGATTTATTGTGTATCAGCGGCTAATTGTCGGGTGAGAATTCACTACTGAAAAACAACGCGAAGGGGCTAAGAGCAATACGATCGTGGAAAAAATTGAATTCAGCGAAATTTCCGGTGTAAAGCGTGGCGGTTCCTTTTGTTGAAAACCCTGCGCGGTGCGGGGCACATGCACGCATCGTACAATAAAAGGTACTACGCGACAATAATACACGCACATCCGCGAACGAAGGGCAGGCGTGGCTTAAAAATACCATCACGGTACTCGGCTCTCTCTCTCTCTCTCGCTCTCTCTTTCTCGAAGCGCCCATCAAAGTGGGGTTCGTACTTATTATACTTATTTCAAGTCCGCGCGCAAAGCACATCATCGCGCTAAGAGGCAAACGACGTCGTGAATCGTCGTCGTACTCGAATCGATCCTGTTGTATGGATTTTTTTCCTTCTTCTATTCTTGTTTTTTTTTGTGTATAATATTTTTATTGATTACTCGTCTCGGAGCGCGTTTCTCGCGCGCCCATACAGTCACGCATGTGCACACATGCTTGCCGCGCCGCTATACGGTTATACACAGGCAGTCATTCGCTCGTCGTCGCGCGCGCTGTGATTCTCCGCTGCCTATTTCCGACGTGTATAGAAGCAAAAACCTCGTGCGCTGCTGCACAGTGCACACGGAGCAGTAGATAGATACTTGATCGTGCGAGTTATGAGTTGCTGATCGAGTGAATCTTCGACGCCGTTGTTATTGTTACGGATGGCGGTGTGATCGTTTCGTCGTCGTGTGACGTTGCAGCTCTTTAGTAATATTTTCTATATTACTTATTTATCACAATACATGTGTGTGCAACCGTAGTAATTAATTGTCAAAAATGACCCTCGATCTCGAGACACAGATCGATCAGCCCGAGCAGGCTGTCCCGGAATTAGTTAAACCAAGTAGAACACCGAGGTAAGCAGTTGATTCTTTCTCGTTCAAAAAAAAAATTTTCGCTTTCCAGTAAAATCGTTTTATTTGCATACACTATCTATTTAAAGTATACTCCACATCTACGTATATGGATAAGGCTCTCTTTTGAGCTTCAGAGAACTGTTGCTTCACCGATCGATAACGCCCTACACGTTGTGGCACAAAGGAGACTATAACTAGCCCTTTGTCCTTTCCATTCAAACCCATTTTTTGAAAAAACATCGCTTCTCGGTTATATGTTTCTTATTGTTACTATAAATTTTTGAAAATAAGATGTGAAAAAGATTTTAAAAACAATATTTTTTTGATTTGAATATCATTAGTTCCATTTTCTTACTTTCTTAGAAAAAATAAATCTGATTTAATAATTTGTCTTCTAGGTTAGAGTAAAGTATTTATTGTAGCATTATTAACAGAGTTAGGGATGAAATTTATTATCAAAATAACTAATCATTTGTAATTATTTTGTTTTCGCAGTCTTCCCAAAGTTATAAGTGACAAAATAACAGACGATGGTGGAACCTATGACACAAATGTTAAACACTTGTTGCAACCTGGGAATGAAAATGATCTTTGCACTTGGTTAAAAGATATGAGACTCATTCGATCGTCTATGAATTGCCCAACAGAAGGTTGCAACGAAAAGCCATTACTGTGGAGAACTGTCAGACAGGTTGATAAATATGGTTGGACTTGTAATGATTGTAAGAAGCGCCAAGCACTCAGAGATGGTTCAATATTTCAACAAGCCAAATGTGATTTGAAACATTGTATACAAATGATTGTTGCTTGGTGTATGGATATTCCTTATGAAACTGTTGCTTCTTATTTAGGTTTGTTTCCTTTTTATTTCAAATCAAATAATTAAAAGAAAACATTACACTCATTTTTTCCATATTTACTGCAGACACCAAACAGCATTTTGTTAGGAAAGTTTATGAAATTTTAACACAAGTAACTGAGCAGTATGTCGAAGCACATTCAAATGAATGGTTACTTGGTGGTGTACCACCAAATATTTTAATAGTAGATGAGTTTCCCACTGGTTGCATGACAGAAAATCAAATTGATGTTCCAAAGACCAAAAAGCGAAACAACCAAAACCACACTGTTTTATGCATTACTGAGGTTTCTCAAGTTCCCCCTCGTATGTGGATGCGCATTTTGGGCACCAAGTCTGAGGTAATAAATTAAAACCTACTTTAATAATTCTGTTATTTCATTATCAAATTGATATTGTATATTTTTCCAAGACAAACAAATTTTTTATTTTCGATAAAGTTCATAATATGAATTATAATACCTTTTTTTTACACAATTTAGAAAACTTTGAAAACTCAAGAAATTCTAAAACAGTATGGAATGGTTGAAGAAGCTTTAAATGAAATAGGTACTCACTCTGCACCAGGAAGTACTTTAATAGCTAACAGGAGAGCTAGATATTGCAATTATGAAAATGTTAAGGAATTGAAAGGGTTCAAAGTAATTGGTATTGAAGAACTACAAATACATGATCCTCCAGAAAAAAATGAACTTTTCTCTAATTTAGGTTTGTATCTTTTTTTATCTTTACTTCTATTTGATAGTTTCTATAGCTTCTAAAAGTTTATTTTTATTGCAGAGACTATATGGCAAACTGGACTTGGGATTTGTGAGGACATACAAAGTTTAGCACAAGATAATGCAGTTCGAGATCTTCATGAATATTTATGGAGACAAAGATTTGCTAAAACAACTGCCCAAGCTTTTAACTCTATACTGCAACATATTACAGAATTTTATCAATTCTCATCAGATTCAGTTTTAAGTAGTTGATACTGTTAAAAAAAAAGAACTTATTAGTATGTAGTTAAAAAAGATATATTTTTAGAGAATTTTAAACTCTACTGACATGAAGTCTTCCATAGTATTTTTATACACATCGCACATATAAACTTCACAAGTGCCTTAACGTTGAAGATATTTGTAGTACTGTAAACTTTATTTAATTGAATCTAAACAAAATAATCTAAACAAAATAAGTGATGTAAATATGATATGAACAGGGGTTCATTGGTTACAAATATTAAATTTAAATGTTTAGATAATGGTAACAGAGACCATTATATGTTTTTTTATTTTGCACTATTGTTATTTTGTTTAATCTAAAAAACAGAGTTTATTTTAAATATTTAAATATTAATATCTGATAACTTTTTATTTATTTCTTCAATAGTATAAGAAGATTAATTACATTTTATGATGATTGTTACTTTCTAATATTATGATGCAAAAAAAGTCAATTATTTTTTCAAAACTCGCAAAAAATGACCAAAGCAAAGTAATATAACAATTGTTATTTAAATGAACAAGATTCTATTATATTTCGTCGCTCTGGAGCATAAAAATATCTTAATAAACGCTGAGACAAAAAAGTGCTCAATTCCTATCTTTACCTAGAACATAGATACCTCTTTCCTCTGACCTTAAAGTGATACCTGTATGTTCCAGGGCGACGATTTTAATAAATCAAAATTTCTCCTAATGATGTATTTAAGTAAAATTTTTCTTATTACTAAAAATGTGTGATTAGGTTTAATCTAATCTTCAAAATGAAAGTTTAGTCTTAAAAATAATTAATGAGTTGAGATTGTAAAATGATATTAATGACACTTGTGCCTCTTAAAAAGTGATATGTAAGCAATAAGTATTACAACACAGAGAATTTAAATTTGATACTTTTTATTTGTAATATACTTCATTGAATATGTAAAAATATTTTATACTTTATTATAGTTACTAAAATAACATTTAATAGTTTAAAGTTTGAGATTCATTTCATACACTTCACTGGCATTTAAAGAATTATAGATTTTTTATAAACAAAACTTTTTTTAAACTATAAAGTTTCCCTCATATATTCTTTGTACTGATTTTGATCATCGACCATTTTCTTGAAGACTCGATACTTTTTTTCGTGATATCTAAAATAATAAATTATGAATCTTTTCAACTCTTATGCATCTCACATTTAATATTGTAAACAAATAACAAAAGTTTACTCACGAAAATGTTTCGGGATTGGGATGAACAACAATAGCTGAACCTCCCATTTTTGTTATAGCATCATTGACTGATGAAAATGTTTGTGCTGCACATGCTCCTAAAATAGCTGATCCCAGCAAAACTGATTCCTTTTCAGCTGGAAGCAAAACTGGCAATCCTAACACATCAGCTTGGGTTTGAATAAACAAGTGATTTTTAGTCAACCCTCCACATATTAGTAACGATTTTATATTGTGTCCAGCAGCTGTCAAGGCTTCTATTATGTGTTTAGTACCATACTAAAACAATTCCAATCATTTCAATAAAAATTTCGAATTGTATTGTGAACTTTAACTCACTGTTAATGATTGCATAGTTGCTAAATATAATTTTGCTAAACTCTCTTCATCAGTTGATAAGGTGAGACCACAAATCTGTAAAATTAATAAGCATCAATGTAACCAAGGATCAAGTTATAGCAGGATTTATTCTATACTTCAGTTTATAATAAAAAATTTGAACTTCGTTATTTTATTTAAATCATACCATTCCATGCAATGATGGATCTGCTAAAGGTGAACGATTTCCATGAAAATCAGGCCACACATGAAGATTTTTAGTTAAATATGCTACATTATTTAACTTTTGACTTTCAGCTAACGTTTTTAAAAGATTTGAAATGTACTCTTGCACATGTCTAAAATAAAGGGCTCAATTAAGTACTTTAACTTCATTAAGTGATACTCCGAAAATATTTAATACTGACTGTTTTGGCCCCAATTTTTTTTTAATCTCTAATGTAGCTGGATGGCTGTCAATCACATGATCTAATAGTTTACCAGTTGTACTTTGACCTCCTTCATTCAACCAAAAGCCAGGGACCATTGCATCATAATAAGGACCCCAAACCCCATTTACAAAAATTTCTTCTTTGCTCACAGCCATATGACATGTAGATGTGCCACAAATTAAACCTTATATTAAAATGAAATAAATATGACCTTGAAATAATGATGAAAATTATCTCACTTACTCAAAATTAAATTCAAACTATACCTAATCTCGTTGTGAAATCAGAAGAGATATCATTTGCTGAGCAACCAAGCATACCTAGACCTCCTGCATGGGCATCTATAATGGATGCACCAACTGGTGTACCTTCTAAAAGATTCAATTCTTCAGCAGATTTTCTTGATAATCCATTACCAACAGGAGACCCTGGAGACTTAACTATTTGACCTATGAAATATATTGAGCTCAATATTTTATATGTAACATGTTCTTATTTATTCAGATTTAAATGTACCTATTTTTCTGTAATTATCAGCTGCTAAATCTGATAATCCTATTTCTTCTAAATAGTCAAAACACCAATTATTAGTGATATTTGGTCCAGCGCTATAGTTCCACTTACAAACCAAAGAGCACAATGATCTATAATCAAGATAAAAAAAGCAATAAATTTGAAACAACTTGCATAATTTATTGTTCAAAGCTGCGTTATTAAAAATACCTTGATTCACAACCGGTAGCTTTCCAAGTTAAAAAATCAGGTAAATCAAAAAATAGTTCAGTTCTTTTCCAAGTTTCTGGTAGATTTTGTTTCAACCATAAAAGTTTTGGAATTTCCATCTCCAGAGATACCTTTCCTCCAACATATTTGAGCAATTTATGTCCTAATTTATTTATAAAATGGGCTTGTTCAGAAGCCCTGTGATCCATCCATAAAATTATGTTTTGATCATCAAGCCCTGGAAATAAATAAATATTGTAAAAAGTTCATCGAACATTCAAAAAAATTTTTAAAAACTCATGATAGAAAAAGAGGTAAAAATGTACCAGTAGGGCTAACAGTTACAGGTAATCCATTTTTTCCTATAGCAACAAGGGAACAAGTGGCATCAAAACCAATTCCTTTTATAGAACGTTTTGGAACACTAGCCACAACTTTCTAAAATGACGCAATAATTAAATTTGAATGAATTATTAGATGGTTAAATTTTTTTTTGATTTAGTTACCTTAACCACATGACAAATTGAAGTCCATATATTATCAGATGATTGTTCATAAAATGATGCTTGAGGATTATATGTCACTGTTGGTTCTACAGCAGTCTCTAAAATTTTACCCAGCGAATCAACTAGAGCAGCTCGGACACTTCCAGTGCCAACATCAACACCCACAAAGTAATCCATTGTTTTGAAAAAATAAAACTGTGTTCCTTTTTAGTACAGTAGTAACACACAACTCAACTGGTAAAAATCACCATACTCTGCAACAGAATGATTTGATATAAATGAATGTATCATCAAAAAGCAAAAAGTCTTATAAAGAGCAAGACTTTTAGATAAGGCTGGAAAGTTACTCAACTCATCATATAGATAATAAATGAAAAAATACGTAACTATTTTGCAATAAAGCGTTATGATCTTTAATTGTTGAAATCTAATGCCGGGTAAAAGGCATATTTTAATAATTATGACAAAAAGGCGGATACATCAAGTCATTTAAGATGGAAACAATTATATCGATCAAACTCGTGTATATTATTATATTTGAAAGAAAAACGGTTTATATAGAAGAAATAGGGCTGTATACTAAAAACGCAGATATTCAAAATTGAAAAGTGCATTTCCCGCCACACGTGAATACGAGCAAGCGCTATTCGAGACGTTTTTTCCGTCACGTCCAAACGATAAGATAAAATCATCCGCGCCCAACATCAAGAGCTGATATAACGAATAACAAAAAAAAACTTGGCTTATTACATCATTCTCAAGCATCCACGATTCTGCAACTTACGTATTTAAACATACCGACATTGCACTGGAGTTCCGTAAAATATATATGCGCATATTTTATATTGTCATTGAACATTATGTTGCGCGCATCTCATGTTAAATAAACCATTCACAAAACTCAACTTGAAAAGATTGTCCTTGTATGTAGCTTTTCCAGTGAAAGTTTCATGACAAATCCAGTAATTTCGATATGATAGTAAAATTATGAACAATTTAACGTACACACTACAAATAATTCTTGCTATTATAATTTTTTAATTTACTTACCCGAGTAAATAAAACCAAGTGGTCCCAATATCGCTCTCCGAAGAAGAACCTTGTCGAAGGCTCGTCTGCTCTTTTATAATTAAACTCGTTTCGTGTATACAAGAAATCAGATCGAGCCTTGTTACATACAGCAGCCAGTATAAAAGCAGATGTAACGCGCCCCGCCAGTTTTTTCCCTCGCCCATTTTAATCTTGCGCTGTAATTAATCATCTTCATTAACATAAATAACACGGATCACATAGATCGACGATCAATACAAATAGCTCGAGAGAAATGAGTGAAAGCTCGATCGTTAGGTGATATGAATAAACATTTACAATTATTAAATCAAAATCCTCGCGCGCCCCTCGCGAGCCTCTTTCGCGTTTTCGTATTATTACTGTGATTATTGTGATGATCGCGCAGACAAAATCGTTCGCCACTCGCTAGTTGAAGTTTCGGGCTTGGCCCCTTTTATAAGATAGTAGGTACGTGGAATTGGAAACATTGCCTCGTTATAACGCTCGTTGCAGTTCTACTGCTGCGCTGCACCGCCTGTTGAATCGATCATCATTGTATTGAGCTTCGGGCAGCACATCGAGGCACAGATATAATACGAGCCATTTTTTAACGTTTTCGAGGGATTAAAGCTACTGAAAATTTGGTCGAAATAGTTTATCGATCATTTTCGACGTAAATATAACTTTGGGACGTATCTTTGCAAGTTTTATATCTATGCGTTTCGAAAGTTGTACGGACATTTAAATCTGTACTTCGATTTGAAGTCTGCTCGTCGCACGCTTGCATAGTACAATACAAACTCCATCGAAATCGTAACCTCGAGTCATCATGGTTCGCTTTAAAAACAGGTAAATTTGTTCAACTCTTATTTACTATTTTCAATTGACAAGTGTTTTTTGGTTATTTGACCATCGACTGTTTATTGACGTAAATGCCATTTAAATTTGTGAGAAGTGTTTGATACTTTGAAGCGGTAAATAGTACCTCGACGTACAGGTAACCTTTATTTGGTCTAAATACTTAAATATATAGATGATATTGATTCTACAAGATTTTGAACCAAATATTTGTTTCCAAGGTGCTATAACTTTGCATTGAGACTTTTTTTTTTGACAGATTTATTCGATAATTCTAACCTAAAAATGTTTAGAATAAAAAATTGATACTAGTTGTAGTAAGAATGGTAGTTATTTTTATGAGAAATTCCGAACCCATTTTCAAATAGATCTTAAATCTAATTTTCTGAATAGTGTTCATGCATTTTTAAATGCTAAAAATGTTTTATGATTAAAACCAACATGTTTTTTTTCTAGAATAATAACTTTTGAAACACTCAAAATAATTGTTATTATATTGGTAAATTATCATTCTAGGTATATCATTGTCAAAATCACAGAAAAAACAAAATTAGATCAGAAAAGGCCTATAGCTTGGAAGATAAAAAATGGTGCAATTCATGATGCCATAAATAAAAAATGTTCTCAAATGTATGGAGATCTAGGTAGTGCGTCCATTAAAGCAGGTTTTACAGGTAAGAGCAACATTTAAATTATCAACTCAATTAAGTATTTCAAGCTTATAATTGCAATAATCTTTACTTATAATTTTAGCCAAATATTTCAATGCTTTTACAAGGATTGCATTTGTAAGATCTCGCCATGGACCACATGAATTCATCTTAAAGGTGTTACCAAAGATTACTGAAATAAGCGGTAAAGAAGTGCATGTTAAAATTTTGTATATTGGAGGAACATTGAAACACTGTTTTATGTATGTTAAAGTAAGTATCAAAACTTTAAGATAGTAGTATTTAATTAAAATTTAAATTACATTCATCTTATTTTTATCAGAATTATCAAGAGAAGAAAATGGAAGAAATTTACAGCGATGCAAAAACTGAGAGTCAAAAGTCAGAATTGGAAGAAGCTCTGATGTACACGATGATGCCTTCATGGCAAGATTTTTTTAACAGTAAAGCAGCAACATAGTGCAATTTATCATGTCATATCTGTGATATGAATGTAGGCCAGTATTATAAATATATAGAAGAAATTGGCCCTTGACAGCGATGTTGAGAGCTACTAAATTATTATTATACTTATAAATGAATATATTTATATATGAAATGTTGGTAGCAGAAGCTATCAAAAATGACTAGAAGAACATATCATTGATTTTTATAATAAAAGATTATACCTTCAAGTTTTAAAAAAGAAGTTTGATTACACTTGCTTTATCATAATTAACATAATAATTTGCAGTAGAATGAAATATTTCCATTTGATAGATACTCCTGTTAGTTCGTCCTCTAAAGCTACTGAGTTATGCAATAAGAAGTGAATAGGCCGACGAAAGGGTCTCTTAATAATTTTTGTTCGGCAAAGTTTTTGAATTTCAATACAAACTTGAGAATACAACAACACAACAAACTGACAGCTATTAAGACAGCTGCTGCGCCGTTACGGCAGTTCAAGCGCGCTCTCGCATGATGCGAGCCGTGGCCCATGAGTTGGGATACAAGCAGTCCATCGCGCGCGCGGCGACTGAGCGAGGGAACTCGCCTGGTGCGACTCGAAAAGAGGCTCGCATACGCGCGCGCTGTTTCGCTCTTTTCAGTATGCGTTCGTTACCCGCGGCGAACAGACGATTCGAATATTCGCACGCACGTTCTCCCCCCCGCTTGTGTATGCAGTGCAGCACATCACGCACAGTATTTCTGTTGCATTATTGCTTGCACGTTTGTTTCAAAAAATTGAATCTCGGTTAATGAGTTTTTGTTTACTTTTTTTTTGTTAATAAAGAGCACGAGCACTCGGCAAGTTATACGAAAAAAACGAGTGTTTTCGCACGAATCTTGCACAGTGAGTTTATTAATCGACATATCCTGCAGTGTGTTGCGAAGATATACAGGAGAATATATAACACACATCGACAATCGATCTGATCAGGATCGCACATACAAGTACATATACAAACTCGTACGAAAGTCATCGAGGGACGCACGAGGAAGTCTCGCGAGGATTTTTGGCTGCTTGCCAAGGATTGGTCTGTGCTGCACAGTCTTGCAAGGACTCGCGTTTTTTCTTCTCTCTCTCTCTCTCGTTCTCCCTAACCTCATGGCCGCCGCTGCCGCCACCGACAGTGGACGACAACGAGGAAGATAGGCTGGAGCGCGGGCATGCAAGGATCGCCCTAAAAAGTAGGTACTACACACGGCTTACATGTATTATTATCGGGTCGAGAGATGACTATCGGCACGTTCGAAAGATGCATGTTTTTTTTGTCGAGTTCGATTACTCATCCGTCCGCGAGAATGACTCGTTTTTCGAGATTGGCGTTTGTTTTTGTCGTTGGTCGTCGATCGTTCGTTTCCTCCCTCCGTTGTCCTTGGCTTAGGGCCCGCGCATTATAAGACGACACGGTGAGTTACAATACCTGAATTTGTCGAGTGTGTATATCGAATAAAAGGTACAGGACGTATAGCTATATACTTGTGTGCGTATTATATACACGAAGGAACGCAACGCACGCACCCGCGTCAATATTTCGGTAGACCTATGTATACACGCGTGTGTATACGTATACGTTAAATATTTGTGTGTCGTGTGTGAGGGTTATACGCGCATATTATATGTTACTTGCGAACTGGTGTGCGTCTACACAGGTATACACCTATACATACCTGCGCGCAAAAAGGGAGGGAAACGGAGAGAGCGAGAAGGAGCAAGAGAGCCGGTACCTGCGGTATATAGGTGTACGCCAGAATTTCGTGATCGTGCGTATGTGGCTCAGGACTGACAGCAGAGTTAAGTTTTATAACGAGTTATTCGAATAAGGACGCTAAAAAGTACATAATAATACGATAAGAATTTTCGACGGATTCGGCCTTTTATCGCTTTGCTGCTCCGTTTTTTCATTTTGTCGATTTCGAGGTAAACAAACGTCTCGTTCCATAAAGCCAGAAGGTCTCGGACAGGCCACCCGAAGCGTCAATGAGAAACACGCTTTTATACATCTAGAAAGATATAGATTAATTCGAATTTAGCCAAGGCTCCTAATTCAAAACATTCGCTTATCTTCTCCTTCTTCTTCTTCTTGTTCGACTTTTTTTCGTCGGTACGAGTTTCGACATCGTCGCGCTCCGAAATTGAGTTTGTCGCCTCCAAAGCTAAGAAAATAGAGGTTTTTTCTGCGTGACTGTCGTCGGCGAAATACGCAATATATATTTCTTCTCCGTTTCCTTCGTCAATGTCGAAATTGAGCCTGGTCGGAGCTTTGCTCGAACTTGCGGCGTTCTTTGCTATCCGTTCTCATGTATGATACATAAAACAAAATACATACTGTGCTGCGATAATACGTAGAGGAGAAAATCGTGGTTTCGTGATCGCACGACGTTTTCGTATTTCGCAGCACAACTGCCTCTGCCTGGTATTACACCGCGGGCGATATTCGTACATACACACATTTATAATACACGCGCGTTCATTCGAATAACGCACATTTCCCCTTTTGTGCAGCAACAGCAGCAGCAGCAGCAGCAACAGAAGTAGCAGCACGTGTTGTTACAGTCGCCCGCGAATCATAATGCCGCACATATAGGTATAGAATAAGTACGGAGTGCTGCAACGTATGCACACACAGAGACACCCAAGCAGTTGCCGAGTTAAGGCTAAACTTTCCTACATTACACCCTCGGCCCATTTTTCCCTTTTCGCGTTTCGTTGGGTAATAATAACGCGCCGCGTACATTATACCCTATACCTACATCTGGCTCACCCTTGGCACTGCACTCTATACACACACATACACATAGACGAGCTGCACTTGAAACTCTCGCTATCGCGCGCACTACACCGAATTGATTCCTCTCCCCCCGTCCTCCTTCCCCCATATACGTATACGTACGAAGCATTTCACACTCGTGTACACCATATATTCTCTACAGAATAATCCGACCAGTTGATCGTTACACTTACAAATTATCAATCTCGTTCGATGGTGCCTATAGTTTCAAAATTATTACTTTCCAAATCTCCGTGGCTTCGATAATATTGCGGCGAATGAACGCGCGCGCGAGAGCATTATAAATTGCTCGCACGCTCGAGTTGCCATCGTGCGTAGCGCGCGCCTGTGTACATATGGCTTATGGGCGAGTTGCAGCACTCGATGCACCGCACACACGATTCATTTTAAATCATTGGCGTGTCTGTGTGGTGCGCATCGCGAGGAAATTTTTATCGAGAAAGTTTGTATCGAAAGGGGCATTAGCCTGGACTTGAAAGATAATAACAAACTCGCTTGCTTCTAGGATATTCAGCTCGCGTCCTTCTCACGCCGTGTTGCATTACCCCCACATCTGTTGTTGCTCGACTTGACAATTTTTCGAGATGCATTCATCGAAGAGCGCGTGTCGCGCTCCGAATGGCAATTATGGCAGACGAGAGCAGCGTCACTCCACGCTCCTCATATGGTCAAATCTCAAAATAAAATTCCGTTTCGTTAACAAAAAAAGGTAAAATTATTTTTGCCTGCCCAGCGGCCTGGACCCCCGCAAATTGATCCTAGGACCTCCAGGACTCCTGGACCAGGAGTGAGAAAAAACGCGTGAACTTGAAATTTGAAAATAGTTCTTTTTTTTCAGGGCACTTATGTGTTTTAGACGCCGAAAAGTCATCTTTTCACGCAAATACGACTTATTACTCGATTTTCAAGTCGTTGAAAGAGCATCCAAACTCATCTAAAAAATTTAATTGACTACCATATTCGATAGGAAATTTCCTCATATTTTTATGGTAGTAACAGATTTTCCGAATTATCCAATTTTCACCGAGAAAATTGCCATCAAACATTGAGGGCCAAATCGAAAATAATCCAAGAAGTTCACTTTTTCCGTACTGAATTTTTAGACATATTTAGCCAATACTTTTTTCTAAAGTATAAATAGAAGCAAGTATGTCAGTACTCAGTCTGATCCTTATAATTTGAGCCTAACTCTACAATTCTTTATTTTGTTGAAATTATTGATCTCAGAGTACCTCCGATGAATTGCTTAGCTGATAGTAATAAAATCAAACATCTCGTGTTTCCAAATTTGCTTGTACTGACGACGACGACGACGACGACGACGACGACGACGGTTCTATAGATACAGACGAAAGCCTTTCATTTAGATCAGGAGGATCCTATTAAAATAGTGAATAAAAATGAATAAATAGTATTTGTAAAAACTTTTAGATTCGATTTAAAAAGCAGTAATAAATTTTCCAGCATTCGAATTTTGAAAGGAATTCAGATTTGCACGAGATGAATCCGAAGAAACCGTTGGAAAATATTTACCAATTCTGGGGACTTTAGCCATAACTTGATCGTGTTTTTCATCTTTAGCTATCCTCCGTTTAGTCTTGTCATATCCACATTCACAACTTCTTAGAGCTTTATGTCGATCAGATTTACGATCCATATTCGCAAATCTGAGCTAAATCACGCCTAAACAAAAATTGAGGTTATCTACATGCTATATTTAGGTATGAGCTTCGATCTGACTCTTAAATAGATTACCTTAATGAAAAATATTCTTATTTCAATGAAAAACACCTTCTTTTAATTAAAAAAACGTCACTTCGCATATAACTCTTGTCTCTTCTGGGTTTGGACAGTAGAAGTTTAGTCTGCACACGCATTTGTAACTAATGTATCATCTGTGCAGAGAACGGCCGGTAAGTATGGGAATGTTATTGATTCATACGTGAGAAATAAAATTGAAACCAAAACATTAAAATCCAAGATATTAATTGAAATTAATTTTTTTCAAATTATTTATTTAAATGACATGGAAAATTGGCTTATTAGATTAATTGAATAACATCATACATTGGAAATACAGCAAATATGCTAATTGCCATCACGAATTTTGGAGTTTCACCGCCAAGCAAATATTGCATAAATCTTGATTCTCTAGTTTCTCGAGAATAATTTCGCATATCTCAACCGGAAGTCGATAGTGTATCAGTACCCAGAAAGGATCCATTGCCCATTCCTGAAAAAATCCTCTGGATAGTTTCTCAAAGAGATACAGAGATACAGAGATACAAGCCTCGCTCAGTGGTTTAGAAAATTCATTCAAATTATCCGAGAGCACGAATTTGAAGTAGTCCGCAAATAAAGTTATTTTCTTGGCCTCTTTAGGTTCTATGCGGGTCAGGTCGTAGAGTGAATAAGTCGAATTTATCATGATCTCTTTCGCTTTGCTCGTGAACTCCTCGTCGTCGTACCAACATATTTTAGCAACTCTCGGTCTCTCCTGCTTTGATTTCTCGAAAAATCCATTGTTACCGTATAATAATGTCATGATAGTTAAGACATTGCTTCGGTCCAGTTCGTATCCTCTTTTCTCAAGCTGTTCTATGACTCCCAGAGCACCAAACGATAGTTGCAATAACAATGTCAACTTGTCTTTTCCATACCAAGTTTGCAAAAGAACCGAACATTCGTCGAAATGACTCTGGGTGGGGAATACGAAGTTCGATAGATCGGCGCCACGATCCAAGAGAACGTCGACCATTTCCGGCTGTAGACCCGCTACGGCCCATTGCAGAGGTGTCCGACCCAACTTGTCCCGGGCCTCGATCTCCAACGGCTGATTTAATTCGTCACAGATCTCGAGTAACATCTTCGTCCAGCCATGATAACCCATCAGGTAAATCAAATGCAGCGACGTCAAACCCTCTGCATCAGTTAAATTTAGATTAGCACCTCGTTTCAACAGCGATTTGACCGCTATCCTGTTGTTCTGGCGCAAAGCCAAGTGCAATGGTGTGTTGCCCGACTTGTCCCGGGCATCGATGTGCACCTGTTGATTTAATTCGTCATTGATGCTGAGAAATTTAATCTCTATGCAATAGAAAATTCTACTTCTTTGGCAAATGTGATGAAGAGGAGTCAACCCTTCCTCGTTGGCCAAATTAGGATTTGCACCGTTTCTCAATAGCAATTCGGCCACGTCAATGTTGTCGTATTTCAGGGCCAAGTGCAGTGGTGTGTTGCCCAAATTGTCTTGGGCGTCAACCCGACATGGCTGATTTAATTCATTCTCAAATAATAGCTGCGCCAAGCGTCGGTCATCATCATAATAATCCTTGCAAATGCAGTGCAGAGGAGTCAGTCCGTCCGCATTGGCCAAATTCGAATCTGCGCCCTGTCTCAGCAGTAATTGGACCAAATCTTTACGACGACGATACTCGATCTGGTCTGTTTTATCATTTCTCGACACCCTTAAAAATTTCACCCATAGCATCATAAAGCGGTAATCCTCGTATGCATGTTTTAGAGGACTCTCAACGTATTTATATATTTCTTTCAGTCTTAAATACCTGTGGGCATCGTCCACAACCAAGAGCAATGGAGTATTACCGAACTTGTCCCGGGCATCGACCTGCACTGGTCGATTATTTTCTTGGCTGACCTCGAATAATATCTTTGCCAAGTCAACGAGGCCTTTGGAGCAAATCAGGTGCAGAGCAGTCGATCCATCTGCGTTGGCTAAATTTGGATCGCCGCCACTTCTCAGCAGCAGTTCGGCCACTTCTTCTCTTTCGTTGTTCAGAGCCAAGTGTAACGGGGAATCGCCCGTTTCGGGCACGAGGAGATTAGGGTCCACCTGGCCGAGCTCGAGAAATTTCTTGACGTCGTTATAACAGCCATGTTGGCAGGCTATACGAAAATGCGTTAAACGCGACAATGGCTTGCCGTCTTGTTGTTTGTTGTCGTTATCTGAGTTGCAGTTCTTTGCGGTCTCCGAGAGAAGCTGCTCGGATTCTTCGCGAATTGGAACTTCGCCTCGGGTTTCGGACATTTTTTCTACGCGCCTATAGACATGCAACACTAAAACACTGATAGTATAAATTATTTTTCACCGTTAATCCCTTTCTGCAGTGCTCACTTTGTTACTTACGCTATAGTATTATTACATGTACCGACTACTATACGCACTACGATCTAACCACATGGTCGAAACTATTTAATACTAGAACTTAGACGCGCACATGTGGGAGTAAGACAGTAAGTAATACCTACACGACGCAGCAGAGATGATGCCATAAGGCTGATTTCACCTTTCACCGAATTTGAATATGGTCCAAGACTTGGTATAGGTATTCGACCTGCATCTACGCATGCGCGGCGTAAAAAACTCTTCGAGTGTACGACGAGTCAATTTTTTCGAACCAAAGAAAGCCAACACGATGGGGCCAGTGGCAAAGTGAATATTTCCGTTATTCATGAAAATTTCATTGCAATATTTTTATCGTTACATCATCACCCTCGAAGCAATTAGTCTATACCTATTGAATAAAGAGTTAAAAATGATTACTGTAACAAGTACTCAGAAAAAAAATATCGGCCATATATATATGGGTAAGGCTCAGAATTTTTTAAATACACCTGCGCTCGTATGTCATCGTTTTTTTAGAACGATACGAAGCCTTGAAAAATCTGGAAAATTTTTTTTCTCGTTTTCTTCATCGAAATATATTACCTTGAATTTTTTCAAATTTTTTAATTGAAGGCGATAGCATCTATGGCTAAAAAACGCTTTTTTTATGAAAAACGGTTCCTAGAACCCAGAGGTTTCGGTAAAAAAATTTGAAAAAATTTTTTTCGAATTCCTTGTCAAATTTTTATAAATTTTGACCGTCGCAAAATTTCGATTGGAGCTTCTTAGCTCATTCTAGAGCATAACAAAGATTCGAGCGAAATTCCAAAGAAATTTGAAAAATAATGTAATTGTGATGAACGCGTTTTTCAGCCATAGATGCTATCGCCTTCAATTTAAAAATTTGGTAAAATTCAAGGTAATATATTTCGATGAAGAAAACGAGAAAAAAAATTGTATGCGATAGTATGACGAAAAATGTCTTTTTTAGCACATTTTTCAGTGCGCAAAAAGCGTTTTTGGACACTTGTGTGCGGTAAAATGCCTCATTTTGGACACGGGTGTGCGGTAAAATGACTCATTTAAATGAACGTATTTTTCGCCTACTATTGCATAAAATTTTGTATGCAACACGTGCCCAGCTTTTTGCGCACAGTGTGTAGCCGGCAGTCGTGTCTTTTTTCGCACACTCGTGCCCAAAAACGCCTTTTGGGCACTTGTTACATGAATAACTATTCCAGATTTTTCAAGGCTTTGTATCGTCCTAAAAAAATTATTTTCGTTAAAAAATGGGGTTTTTCGGCTCTAGACGTCAGAGTTCTTTCTGAAAAAATCTGAAAAAATTTGAGGTTATGTATTTTAATGCCAAAAATGAGTAAAAAAAAGATCGGGCTTTGTATTGCATCGTAGCGCCGTACATGAATTTTCAAAATTTTCAATAATTTTTCTGAAGGCCTGAAGCACTCAAATAATCTGAAAAAATTCAAGGTTGTTCAGTTTATTGAAAAGTATTTTTGTGAATTTTTTCAGATTTTTTAATTGCTTCAGGCCTTCAGGAAAAATATAGATAGAATATGGACGTTTATAGGGGTGAAGGGGGGTAGGAGGGGGAGGGGGTCTAAAATTTTGGTTTTGGGACCTTTTTACCATGTACTATAACATACCGAAAGCGCGTCAAGATCGGTGACACACGAGCGCAGGTTTATTTAAAAAATTCTGAGCCTTACCCATATATATTTAAACGTTCTGTTCAATTTCACTTGAAGTCGAGAACGCGACGAGAGAACATCGCTCGGTGAGTAATTGCCATTGCGGCTGGTAAAGTCGAAAGAGAAAGAGACTTGGGCTGTATACAGGCAGCTCATGTGTTTGTCATAATTCACGCAATTCGTATTATATATATGAGCCCAGCGATAAAAAAAAAGAAATAATAGTACGAGCCACGACGAGACGAATCAAGCGTTTTTTTGTCGAGTGGAAATTGACTGCAGAGATGACCACATTTCAGCGGTTTTTGGATTATAACAATTTATGACTGCTCCTCGAGTCTGCTGCTTTTTTCGTTCGTTCGCGTACTTTATGATTACGTCCTGAGGCGCTATCAAAAAGGGATAGAAATAATTTTCAATTAAAATTCAGTAAGTCATGGCGAGGCGCCCGAAATAACTGCCAGACCGATAAACTTCCATCGGGCGCTACGCGCACACGAGAAGGGTCTATATTCTCTTCCGAATGGGAAACGATAAACAAACTCGGCACATTTTCAACTCTTACGCGTTAAAAGCATAGACAACTCATCGATACCATTTAGCCGCAGTCGATGCATGTACGTCCGACTTGGATGTTTTTGTACAACAGCGAGCTCAAGTTCTTCGAGACATATTTGTCGAACGAAGCTCGTGCGCCCGCAGCGGCTGCTCGTACAACAGCCCTCTCACATGTATTTGGAACCCTCCGTCATTCACTGCTCCAAGGTTATCGTATATAGCCGCACAGGAGGAAAAAAGCTTTTTGGCGTTCAAAGGATCCGTTTGTGCTTGCGCGTGGGGGCTTATTTGTGCCCGAGAGAAAGATCAGAGGGAGAAGAGAGAGAAACGCAAAATCAAACGTCTGCGCAGATGCTACGTACCGCAGTCAGTAATTATTTATTTTGTTCGAGCTTGCACACACATGTACTATATAGGCAGCAGCAGCAGGAAGTTGAAGGAGAAACGAGCAAAGCCACTGCGGATGCTGCGGGAATGTATATAATACGTGTATCGTATTACTATCTACCTACCACACGCAGTGCTTCTGTCCTCTCGATTCTCTTGTGTCATTGTTATCGAGAGAGCCCTTATAATCATGTATTTTATAGATATACGTAGTCGTGTGCGGTAGGTCCTTTTAACTGTACAATGCACTGCACAATCCAGGTACATGTGTTTATGCACTTGTAAACGAAAAATACATCGAGATCGCAGGTAAAGATGAACTCGTGGGAATCCGCTGATTAAATAATCAATTTTCCTCGCGAATACATTATAACGTTTTCAATAAATCAACTTTAATCTCCTAGCCAGCGAGCAAGTGAGAGAGATATTAGATCCACCAAGATGCTACGTAGAAGATTAAACGTATTAAAGCTTACACGATTTAGGCTGGCTGGCTGGTTCGCGCGCGCTTCTCAATTTCTTCTGACTTTATCAAGATTTTAAACGTATTATACAATTAGCAGCGTTAAATTACCAACTCTTGTACGTTATTACAAGCGCAACTTCTTAAAATGTATGCGAGTTTATTATAATTCATTATATCGCAGGTCCCTCTTCCCCCGGCCTTCCACACCACTTTCGGACGGTCGATCGAGCGATAATCGTCTCTTAGCCTGACGAAAAAAAATAACAACACACCGCTGAATCAATTCATTAAAACATCATCGTATCAAAAGCTGAGAAAGTAGGACGGACTTTCCCAATACATTTGCGCGCGCGTAAGGAATAATTCTGAAAATCGCTAGAAGATATCGTCGTGTGTACTCCGCATTTACCGTATCATCGCATCCGCAACACAGCTCAGTGGAACGAAACATAAAAATTCCTAATCACCTTTCGACGTTTGTCGCGCGAATTTCAATGTTTTTTTTTTGATAAACTACAACCATCAGGCACAAAACACGAAAATCTCTTGGTAAAATCTCAAGCGGCGTTTGTAATATTATATGCCGTTGAAGACGCAAAGGAGTGTTTTTTCTCCGGCCTCGAAGTTACCTTCTTTCTTTCCATCTTTCATTTTTTTTCCTTCAAGGTCGACCATATCCTTGCGCGTAAACTCAAGTTCATCGAACCCAGGCATATACATATACGTATATATAGCAGCAGCTTCCGCAAAGTAGCGCCGCATATGTAATCCTTTTCCGTGCGCGCGTCTACCGCACATAATCGTACGCAGAGCGCGTAGTCTAGCATGTGATTGACAAAGCACGTGGGACTTAACATCCGCAGCCGCGCGATGTTGATAATTTCATGCGTTAGCATGTGCGCGTACGAGCGTATACAGTATACCTACGTCTGTGCACCGCAATTTCTGCGCTTCAAGATGCGCTGCTTATATATGGAAAATATAAATATTACGCGCAGACGCACAAATGTGTGCTGCGAGCTGCTGCTCCGAAGCACGTTAAGAGAGCGTATCGCGAAAACTTGTAACATAACTTGTTTCCTTTTTTTACTTGAAAAATCTTCTTCGTCATTTTTTTTATGCCCGTCTCTCCATAAGTTGATTTAAGTTTACGCGCGATAACGCCGGGATGCAATCGTGTTTCTGTATTCAAGTCTCGTTATATTGTTATTAACGTTCGAGAGCGCGAAGAAGACGGCGTTTAGCGCGGACACGCGTCACTTGCCGCTGATGAAAGAACACGGCGCAGGGAAAGCTAGGCTGCCCCTCGGTGAGGATTTATTTTTATCAAATAGCCGCTGCACGAGAGCCGGAGAGAAATTTTTTTGTTATTAATCCATAAACATATCGTCACGATTCAGGACGAGGAGAATAGCCTACTCCGCGAGATGACGCGCTTATATCTTTTTTCTTTTTCAATTCCGTACAGACGACATTTTTATTTGGAACTGCAGGAACGTAAGAAATGCGTGACAATCGTACGTAACGAGTCATAATAGTAATTATAAACGTAGAGAGAGATAGAGAGAAAGAAAACGCGATAGTCGTCTCACGCACACGTACTGTATAATACATTCGAGAGAAAATTTCCAGTGACATCGTTGGATTTGTAATCTTTGACGTTTTGAATGCAACCACTGAATTTTGCACCATACGGTGAGAATCGACAGCACGAATGAAAGTTCCGTGTAGTGTTTGCGATGAAACTTGTTTTGTTCTCATTTTTATACTCGAAAAAAAAAACATGTACAAACTCACTCGGA